CTCCCTTATATCTTCACCTTCTCTCTAAGAAACCAACTGACTTGGTCGTCGGTGCTTCGTTCCAGGACTGCCACCCGGGCGAAGACTCACGAGCTTGTTTCCTTTGCTGTGATTCTCAGGCCCTCCATCCCATTCTTCAAAGAGAAGGAGTTAATCCAGAGACTTGTCACAATAGTTCGGCCATTCGGACGTCCACCTAGTACAGCACAACCCGATAAACAACAATACGTGTCTATGACTAAAAACAATAAGCTTGCAACACCACAAAACGATAGCACCGGTTCCCCCAGGAAATCACCGTCAGTCGGCAGACTTGGTTATCTCGCACCAAGCGTTAGTCCAACCAACGTCGTCATATAATTTACAACGGATATAGGATACCCGCCGACTACCTATATACTCAACAAAAAGCCGACATCAGAAAAACAACATCGCCAACACAAAGTGTTTACGATCAACAGACCATACAAGAAATGTGAGCGAGACGAGGCAAACCACAGAGTCAAAGCGCTGACCCGACAGGTCAACAACATCAACTTCTCCACCGAATACCCAAGACCACAAGGTTGGAACCCCAGTGACCCGCTCCTCATAACCGCATGAATACGTCACAAACAAACCCATCGAGTATACATAGATAATGGCAGTAGCACAGATATCCTGTACGAACATTGTTTCCGGCAATTACCAGAGTCCTGGAAAGCGGAATTGAAGCCCCCAACAGGTGGACCTCTGGTCGGCTTCACAGGATACAACCTATGGCCCCTTGGAACAATACACCTCCCATTAACTTTAGTCAACCACGACAGAAGAGAGAGCAGGACACGAACAATTGAATTCTCCGTAATACGCCACCCAGTAGAACAAAACACACTGTTAGGGCGCCCGACACTCTTCGAGCTGCAAGTTGTGTCGTCAACAATTCACGACACAATAAAATTTGGCACACATCTCGGCTCAGCTACCATTGTCGCTGACACCCCGCACAGGAGGATGTGTCACCAAATCATGGCGGCAACAGACCTGATCAACGCCCCTAAAAAAATCTAAAGCAGATTACCCACTAGAAAAGCACGTAATACATGGCGAACACCCTGAACAGGAAATAAACATCGGAGCTGACCTATTAGCGGAAACCAAAGTCCAACTAGTCGTACTGCTAACACGCTTCGTCGGGGTATTTGCTTGGCAACCTGTAGATATGAATGGAGTAGACCGAAAAATAGTCGAACATAGCCTAAACATCATCTCGGGCAGCTCTTCGATAAATAAAAAATGAGGGGGAAGGTAAGTGATAGAAACAAAGCAATCAATGACGAGGTCTCGAAGCTTGTGAAAGCATGCATCTTTCGGGAAGCAATGTTCCCCACATGGATTGGAAACACGGTAATGGTAAAGAAACACGATGACTCGTGGCGAGTGTGCATCGATTATTCCGGCCTGAATAATGCATACCCAAAAGACCATTACCCCTCCCGGAAATAGACCAGAAGGTCGAATCTCTGGAAGGCTTCCAACTCAAATGGTTTCTTGATGCCTACAAAGGCGATCACAAAGTATAGATGCGTCGGGAAGACGAGGAAAAGACAGCCTTCCACACCGATCGGGGTACGTTCTGCTACCAGAAAATGTCATTTGGCCTTAAAAACACCGGTGCGACATACTAGCGCCAGATGGATAAAGTCTTTGCAGAGCAGATCGAAAAGAATGTAGAAGTATATGTCGACGACATGGTCATCAAAAGTCGCAGCAAAGCAACGTGTCTCCAAGACGTTAAGGATACCCTCCAGACGCTAGCGCGGGCACAGATGAAACTCAACCCGGTAAAATGCACTTTCGGAGTAGAAGAGGGCCAGTTCCTAGGATACCGAATAACTAAGGAAGGGATCAAACCAAACCAAGTCAAGATTCAGGAATTTCTCAATTCCAAAATCCCACACAACATAAAAGGGGTCTAGGAAATCAATGGGAGGTTGACTGCGCTAGGCAGGTTCATCGCCAAATCGGCAGAAAAAGCTCTACCACTCTTCCACACCTTGAAAGAATGTGTCGACAAGAGTAACTTCAAATGGACGAATGAGGCAGATGCAGCTTTCCAATGCCTAAAGGAGGCCCTTCGCCAGCTACCAACAATGGTGAGCCCCCTCCTGGGAGAAGCCTTATAGATATACCTCGCAACGGCCGATGAAACCATTTCATCGGTACTAATGGTAGAAAGAAACAACAAGCAATTACCAATACATTTCGTAAGCAGGGCATTACAAGGCCCCGAAATCAACTACCCAGTCCTGGAAAAACTGGTGTTTGCCCCTAATTTACACGGCCAGACACCTGCGGTGCTATTTTCAAGCACACAGAGTCGAAGTGTTGACCAGCTCCCCAATAAAACAGGTCCTGCTAAGACCCAAAAAGTGAGGACGATTAGAGAAATGGGCGATAGACCTGGGGGAGCACGATATAGATTACCGCCCCGGACCAGTATCAAGGCACAAGCACTGGCATGCTTTTTGGTAGAAATACCAGACGCACTTAGAGGAATACCAAAGGTCGTACCAGCAGACCGCGAGGCAAGCAAAGAAATATGGGAACTACACACCGACAACGCAACAAGTAAGGAAGGCTCTGACGCAGTCCTAATCCTCAAAAACCCCAAGGGAGACGAAATAACATACGCCTTGAGATTCGACTTTCAAGTTTCGAACAACGAGGCAAAGTACAAAACACTTCTCGCATGCCTCCGATTGGCACAAGAAGTCAGCGCCAAACATCTACGGGCTTTCAGTGATTCACTGCTGATAACCAACTAGGTCAATGGCACCTAGAAATACAAAGATCGAAGAATGCAAAAATACATGGAAAAGACGCGACAGTTGGCTCACTCGTTTAATAGCTTCGAAATCAAACAAATACCCACGGGGACAATACATGAGTCGACGCTCCTAGCAAGCTGTTCGCGACATCCTTTGACCACCTAACTAAGAAGGTACTAGTAGAAGTCCTGGGAGAAAGGAGCATCGACAACAAGCAAGTCGATGACATCGCAGAATCGCCAGACTGGACCAGGCCATACCTAGACTATCTGCATCACGGGGTCCTTCCGGATGACCCAGAAGAGGCCAAGAAGATAAAAATCAAGGCCCCCCAATTCGCCTTGAAAGGCATGTAACTGTACAAGAGAGGCTACCTAGCGCCTTGGCTCAGATGCATCTCGCACGAGGAAGGCCAAGTCCTCCTAGAGGAGAGCCATTATGGCGAAGTCGGAGCACATGAGGGGCACAGGCACTCACGGGCAAGATACTACGTTTAGAGGTATATTGTGCCAATGTGTACAAAGACGCAGCGAGGGTCACAAGGAAATGCCCAGAATGTCAGGCGTTCGCCCCATTCCAGAATCAGCCTGCAACAACCATGACCACCATCAGCAGCCCATGGCCTTTCCACCAATGGGGCATCGACATCGTAGGACCGTTCCCGACGGCTCCAGGGGGATTGAAGTTCCTACTGGTCACAGTTGACTACTTCACAAAGTGGATCAAAGCAGAACCCCTAGCAACGGTCACGGGCAGGCACATAATCCGATTAACGTGGAAAAACATCCTAATTCGGTTCGACACCCCCAAGGTCCTAATAAGCGACAATGACACATAGTTCAAGGGAAGCTCCTTCAAAGAATGGTGCGAGGAAAAGTGGATCCATCGTGGCTTTACCTCGGTCGTACACCCCCAGGAAAACGGCCAGATTGAAGTGTCAAACAGGACCATCGTGAACGGGCTTAAGAAATGCCTGATGAAAGCAAAAAGGGCCTAGATGGAAGAGCTGTCAATAGTAGTGTGGTCATACGCACTACCGCAAGGTCAGGGACATGAGAGACGCCCTTCAGCTTAACATATGACACGAAGGCGGTGCTCCCAATCAAGATTCTGAGTGAATCATTGCGGGTAACCAGCTTTGATGAAGGCTTGAACGAGGTAGAGTGACGACAAGACCTGGACATGTTAGACGAGAAACATGAAGCTATCGACTGCAACAAGCATCCTACAAATCCCGTACAAAAAACTTTTACAACAAAGGGGTGCAGGTAAAGAACTTCAAGGTAGAAGAATGGGTGCTAAGGAAGAACGATGCTAGCCACTCGGATCCACTGGGGAAGCTAAGTGTAACCTGGGAAGGACCCTACAAAATAGTGGGGGCGCATCGGGATGGAGCATACACACTGGAAGCACAAGACAGGAGACCGATACCCCGAACAAGGAACGTACGCAAACTGCACCACTTTTATTTGTAAAAACAACCGGCAAATGGCATAACCAAAGGAGGGGGTAGTGATGCTCGGATCACCGACCTAAAAGCCACACTTTGATCAAATGATTGACATGAGGATGCTTAAGTTGTCTTCAAAACGTTCCGATTAATAGAGTTTCGCAAGATAGTAGACTAACCTTACTAGTCAATATACGCACACACGTGTATAAAACATAAATACAAACGCAAAGAACAAAAGGGGGGGGGGGTGCACAGATTTGCCAAACGACAACACGGGCAGATCACCCACATTGCCTAAGAAAAAAGACCCACCAACATGTAACCATAAATCTCAAAAAGAGATGATCCCCCCTACGTACACGTCGGTTTAAACAAGCAATAAATCCCTCAGGCTTTCAAACCAAATGTGCCCAAAGGGTCCGTAGGATCATAACCTTCCACTGACGATTTAGCACATACGAGTCCAGGGAGTCTCGAGCTGATGATCTCGGCTCACCTTAAGCGACCACAAAGGAGAGGCAATTGGCCACTCAGTTAAGAGCCAAAAGCAAGGCCTACAAAATACTCTCCGGGGAGACCCCTCCCCAAACATATATAAAAAAAAAGAGAATAAGCTCGCAAGAACGGGCAAACATTAATGATTAAGACCCCGCAAGGTTGAATGCAACAACATTCTACAAAGTACATACAAAAAATAAGAAATAAAACAACAAACATACAACAATGCACAATGAAAATTAACCCTGGCGAGGTTGAGTCGAGGCAGTGCCTCCAGTGCTACCGTCTGACACATGTTCCTCCTCTTCAGAGCACATTTGGCGAAGATTATCAAGGTCGAGCTCACCCAAACGGAGATACGACGCGAAATACGTCTCGCCAAAAGCCTTGATGGCAGCATGCATTGCACCAACAGATTGTGCCGCAGCATCCGGATCAGACGAGCCAGGGCTACTACCATTCAACCATGCTCGTACCACCTGCTTTCCCTTCTCTATACCAGCAGCCACACACACGACCTTCACGCAACGAATCCCAAGCGCGAACTCGCTACTCTCAACAACAGGGTCCACACACGAACCACTCCCTTCTGGAGAACTCACGCTAAATCAGCCTCCAAGATTTTCCTCCTCGAGACCTCAGCGGTGAACTGATCGTCTTGCAGTGCCACACGCTCCGCCAAAGCTTCTTTCTCCGCTACCAAATTTTGGACCTGCTGGGATAAGAGATTAACCTCGCCATCCAGAGTCATCACTTGAGCTTCCACAACAGTCTTCCCCCTAGACAGCACGAGGTAGCACTCATCAAACTTGAGTCTCTCCTCTTCGAGAAGCCAAACCTTCTTCGCGAGCTCGTCACGCTCGGATTTAACAGCAGCCAACTCCGCTACATCAGCCCCTATGTAACGAAGACGACCAGAAGCCTCCACCAAGTAGGGAGCAACATGAGCTGCGGCACACTGAAGATCATTCGCCGTGTGAGAATAAGAAAGAGCGTCGAGAGCCTCCAGGGTAGCCGGAAAAAACGCATGTCGGCACCACTCACGGGCTGGTCCGTGTTCCGACAAAAGGGAACCGGGCGCGAGATTCCACCCAGGGAGATACACACTAGTAGCACCCAAAGACGAAGGACCCACCACCGACGGGGTATCACCTAGAACAGAGGGAGGGAATGAGTAAGTGCCCACAACACTTGGCTTCCCCGGCCGACGCAAACCCGCCGCCTCCACCGCTTGTGGGTTGTTAGTATCTGTAATCTCAATAACAACATGAGACTCAGAAAACAGAGGATCAATGTTGCGTTTCCGATGCAAACGCCAACTAATAGAACTGTCACCGGCATCTTCCTCAAAGGCGAAATCCACAGCAGCAGACCAACGTCGGGAGACGACTTTACCGCTAGATGCACCTGATCCTCGGACCCCCGCCTCGACAGGAGGGACATTGCCCTAAAAAACAGGGCCAACTCTGGCTGGAGCCGGTAGCGTCTGCATTTGAGGGACTTCGTGATACTATAGATCCCCTACAAAATCCCCCCGTAGCACCTGTTCAAGAGAAAGAAACCTCTCGCTACCTGCAACGACAACAACGCAAAACCCCCTTCTCCTTAGCAAGCAAAATTAGATACCAAACAAAGAAAGGCAAAAAGGAGGGGGAAGAAGGTAACACTTACCATCATTGTCCATAAAAAACTGAGGCATCTTTCCACGTGACCGCCAAGAAGAACTCATTCCGACTGCTGCCAATACACAGTCCGACCAGTCTTCGCCGTTGAAACAAATTCCTCTTAATGTGCGAGCCACCGACAAACCGACCCCCGACGGTTGGGGTTCCCGATCCGAAGCCATGGGCATGCGAGGATAGCCGACCCCAACCAAATCACTGTTAAACCACAGCCACTGATCATGCCAGTTCTTCCGAGATGCTTTCTGGTTAATTATATACGAATGCATGTTACAACGTTGAGAGAAAGTGTGAACGCCCGAATGGGTAGACGGATTGAAGAAATACTGGAATGCTTGAAGATGGGGAAGCACCCCCACCACTCGACACCCTAACTCAAACCCAACTATCTTGTTCACAACGTTCGGGGTCAGGTGGTGAATAGAGAAACCGTATTATCGAATAATCTCGTCAAAGAAACCAGAAACGGGAAGCCAAAACCCGGCCTCGAAAATCGCCACCAGAATACCCACTTTCCCCGCTGGTGGTTGATATATTGTAGATCCTTCAGACAGGAATTGAACTCCATGCTCAGGCATGAACCCAAATTGAAATTGAAGGGACTCGAACTCCTTAGGTGTAGGAGCGACTCCAGATCTAGCAGAGGCCATCAAGAATCGGAGAGAAAAAAATATGGGTGAAAGAAGAAATGACAATAAAGAATGAGACGAAAGATTGTGGAAAGAAGAAGTGTATAATAGTTCTTAAAGATAGAGAACCCTTAAATAAAAAGAAAAAGGAGGAAAGAGAAAAGAAAAAACCGAACGAAACGACGCTATCTCGCCAGAACGGCTCTATTACACGTCAGAGACCGTTCCCACCAAACGCGTGCCCAGATCTAAGCTAGAACTACTCAGCTACCCTAAGCAAACACTGACGTCTATTATCCTAGGGGACATGTTAACGTATCCCACCAAGAATACTTCAAAAATAATGGAACCGTCATACCGTTTGAGCAAAGACCGTCGTACGCCTAACGTCGGTCCCTCGCTCTCGCCCTCGTTCTCACGATCCCAAACTCATTCCTCGGCGTCCAAACGTCAAAGCCAGTGTCGAGAAAAAATAGTACTAGCCGCCTCCCAGAGCGACAGGTGTACCTCTTAGAACGTCGCTCCTGGCAGCCCTGCACCAATAGTAAGCAACTACGCGCGGAGCACGATCTACCAATCAAGGACCGTTTTCCCCTACGACTCCTGAAAAGGTAAAAGATTATGTCGGGGGATTTTTTCCCCTGATCACAAGTATGAAAAGGTCCCTTCTCCTCCAAGAGAAGGGACCGTGAAAAAAATCTCCTAACTCTTCCCTTATATTTTCACCTTATCTCTAAGAAATCAACTGACTTGGTCGTCGGAGCTTCGTTCCGGGACTGCCACCCAGGCGAAGACTGACGAGCTTATTTCCTTTGTTGTGATTCTCAGGCCCTCCATCCCATTCTTCAAAGAGACGGAGTTAAGCCGGAGACTTGTCACAACAATTTCCAAAATTGTTTTAAAAAATAATCAATAAAGGATGTTATGTATATGATCAGTCGGAGCCAATAAGTGGACCCTAAGTTACCACACTATTATTTGATATTATGTTATGTTAGAACAACATGCTAGTGATACGCTAGGAATCTTCAGGAATAGCATGATAGGATTGCCTGATTATATGATGCATGATAGCCTAGGGTTTCTTCCTTCTATGAAATTGACATCATTACTATAGTTGCTTAGTGTATGCATCAAAATTGTACATGACTAAGATTTTATAGGCTGAGAATGTTTGATTTGGCCTTATTTCTTGTTCCTTGTCTGGTTGTGGGCTTAGGCTAGAATCAATTATTCGATTGTCTATAGGATCCAGTGTTATACTCCCTCCGTCCCAAAATTATAGTCCATCTTTCCTTTTTGGTTTGTCCCAAAATAATAGTCCACTTCTAAAAATAAATAACATTTTTACCAAAATACCCCCTCATTATTATTTAACCAACTAAGCATTTAATGGAACATTAAATGCAAAGTAAGGACAAAACTGTCCTTTTATTAAATAAAGTTAGTGGCAATTAATGCTTTTCTTAATATGTGTGTTTTTTGTCTATGGACTATAATATTGGGACGGAGGGAGTATATGATTAGCATATACGAGTGTTTTAGGGTTGGTGGAAGTTTCATGGATGAGTTATGTGGGGTCAGCCTACCAGTCGAGGGATGTCTAGCCCTTCCTCTACGAAGTGAGAATAGGGTGTATGTGTATTCTAGTGAGTGTTGTTAGGGTTGTTGTGATGATCTTCTGAGACAAATATGGGTAGCTGAGGAAGGTAGTGTGGGTCCATACTACTGGAAGCATAGGACCCGTACGTGTAACAGGGAATTCACAACCCCTAGGTTGTTGATGTGGGCTGGTTCCTATGGTGTGATATGTTCTTTATTTGATATCTCTCTGGTTTATTTTCAGTATGGTGTTCACGTAGGGATTCAAAATTAGGAGCGAGTGGTCAGGATTGGCCAGGGTTAACCGAGGATCAGGTCAGGGAGATGATTAATGTTGAGGTTGTTTCTATTGTCCGGGGGCAGATACCGAAGTTGTTTGGGTCTATCAAGACCGCTATGATGGATTTCTTTGATGATCGATATGTTGCACTTTCAGAGGCTGCTGCTGCTGCGGGGATTGGAAGGGGAAAATCTTCCAGTACCGAGACTTTGACAATATGAAACCCCAGTGTTTGAGGGAGTCCATGATCCGGTCATAGCCATGAGGTGGTTGTCTGACGTGGATGAATGTTTTCTTTACGTGTTCCTGACCAGCTGACCAGAAGGTCAAGTGTAACACCCACAGATTCGGGCTAATTAATTTAGAGATAATAAGCGTAAAAAAATGACTTTTGATAAAAGATTATTTAGAATAAATAAGCTTAACCAAATTATAGTATATGTCACAAGGATTCCGTACATATAAAGAACGCTGAAATCCGAGTTATAACGAAGAAGTTATGACCCGTCGAAGTTTTGCGACAAAACCGGCACTGCTCCACATATCGTAAAAAGTAAATTTTTGACAAATACTTTTTAGCCTTAGAAATCTAAAAGAAAGTCATAGGATACGTTAAACTGAGAATGTACATAAAAAGAACATCCAAATCTGACTTCGTTTGAGTAAGTTCTAATTTTTCTAAGATTTAGCATAGCAGTGCACAGCCCGGAAATCAAATTTTAGATCGATTGATTTTTAGCCGACACAACCTAAATGAGAATTTAAGATGTCATTAATAGGAGCTCAACGATATAAAACAGTCGAAAACGGACGTCAGATAACAAAGTTATGAATTTTTAACGGATTTTAACTGTCTAAGTCTGTTAAAATATAACTTTAAAAAAAAGTCCAAGTTAGCCAACAAAGTCTAAACGAAAGTTGTAAATCCCGTCGATACCTACGCGTGGGTATAAAGAACGTAAAAAAAATGGAGCTCGTATGCGGAAGTTACGGATTTTAGAAGATAACTAGTTTTTGGAGTAACCATCGAGTGACATGTGGCGTGATCCGAGCCACTGCTTCCTCACCACGTCTTGCCACTAGATGGTGACACGTGGCATGGGAACGCCCAACATTCATCAAGGGAACGATCATCGTTCACACCAAACTCAGCCTATAAATAAAGGCGCAAATCACCCCCAAAACTTACACCTTTCCCATTCTTTCTCTCTCAAACATCCCTCTTAGCCCCTCCCATTCCCTAGCACTTCCCGAGTGCTAGAGGTGAGTCCCGGAGCACCAGAAGGGTTCGAGAAGAAGAGCTTTCGGCTTAGAAGTTTTGCCCGCGTAGAGCCCGATTCTGCGCTAAACTCCATTGTAAGTGAGTTATGCTTACCCTACTTTTAGTGTAGCTTATGTTTAAGTGCAGTATTGTTATTATGAACTTATAAACAATATATGTAAGTATTATAAAATATACAAAGTGTTATTATAATACACTTTAACTGTTCGCGGTGCGGGGAATCTGGTTTGAAGGGCCGCATAGGGTTGTTGGATTTCAGAACAACTTAAATGCCAAAATGGTGCTGCCCTCCGGTGTTTCATGTTTGGCCCCTATCTGTACATAGTAGTTGAAAAGTATTGTTTAACACTTATAAAACAATATAACTCATAGAACTTGAGTTAATAATTAGTCGTAATAAGTATTAGACTAAAATCTAGTGATAATGATACTAGGTTTCGTCGAAGGAAAATAAAATTGTTAGAAAAGCGAAGTTGTAACATCCCAAAAATACAGACCAAAAATTTCATTTTAATTCATTAAGAAAAACCAGAGTAATCAAACATCATATAAAAATCATAAGTCGTGTATCTCAAAATATCATAAACATCTGTCAATTATATCAGAGTATAATCATCCCAGGCTAAACAAATGGTGTGTGCACTGCAATCATCCCGAGTTCTTCCCCTTGCTACCAGAAGTACCTGAAACCAAAACTAAAAACTGTAAGCACGAAGCTTAGCGAGTCTCCCCAAACTACAACATACCATACACATAACATGAAACTAGGAGATACGGGCCCCGCCCACACTTAATGATATACGGGCCCCGCCCACACTCAACTACTATGAGCTACGGGCCCCGCACACACTCAGCTACTATGAGATATGGTCCCCGCCCACACTCAACTACTATGAGATATGGGCCCCGCCCACACTCAGCTACTATGAGATATGGGCCCCGTCCACACTCAACTACTATGAGATACGGGCCCCGCCCACACTCAACTAGTCATGAAAATACATACAGGTATCACACAGACAACAAGTATAACTAAGCATATAAATCTGTACCATATCAGCTATCTATAAGATACGGGCCCCGCCCACACTCATCTACTAATCAGATCACATATACGGGCCGACCTTGGTGCCGTAGACCCGTTCCTATTGAAGGAAACTCACCTCAATGTCGTGAATAGGGTAAAGTCCCTGCTCCACAAT